CACGGGGCTGCCAAAGCATCTCTTGAGAAAATAGCGGTCAGCCCCGCTGCACGGGAAGGTTATGCCTATCTCTGCGGAGCACAGGGCGGCCATGGTGGCCAGCAGGGCGCAGGCGGCTCAGCTACACAGGGACAGCCCCACGTTCATGCTGGAGTACGTCAGCACCCCGGTGGGGGCCACGAAAATCCCTGCACCTATGACGTTGACGAGGAAAAAACTCGTGCCCCAGCCATATCCAAACACTCTCCTGAGGTGTATCGCCTTCCCTGTATCCATTTTAACTGAAGTCTTGAAAAAGTCTACATACAAGCCAGTTTCTGGATTTTCCTGCCTATCCGGCTGAAGAAGATGTGCGTGGAGGCTCTGAAATGAAAGAGTGGTGTCTGTGGTGTTCCCTCTTCGTTTCATGTATTAGCCTATTTTCAATCATTAACAAAGTATACGCAATGCATCCAGGTAAAATAGGATAAGGTTACTCACAGGGGTTTAGTTGGGCTGGGTTTTCAATTATTATCAAAATAATACATTCAGGTAGAAAAAGGAACCTCAAATAAGACAGGATGACAGCCCAAACAGGAGCTTCCTGCTCAGTTTCACTCCTTCCCAAGGCCACTCCCAGTTCCTTTCTCCAGAAACGTTCGCCTCATCACACGCGCGGCTGCCCCATCACTCTAAAGAAGATGAGAAGACTTTGATTTCTAAATACCTCACCTTTAGGAAGCGGCTATTGACTTCCTGTCATGGACATTGGGGAATTAGCTCGCTCACTCACTCTGTTCCCTCTCCCTCCCACTTTTTATCATCAAACTTTCAAGAAACAAAGTATTGACCTTTCATCAGGCTCAGGGAAGCCAATCAACAAGGCCTGGGAGTGAAATACCTTGCAACCTAAGCCCATCCCTTAACCATTTATCACCCCGGTAGCCTGGGTCACAGGCAGAATGGTGAAGACAGCTAGTACAGGAGGAGGCCTGATGCCATGGGCTGAGGGCAGCAGAGCCTTCGTAGCTCTTACACATGCTGACTTTACTATGCAAAGCATTGTTCTGACTCTCTCCAAAGCCCCATAAGTTGGAGCACACGCCTGCCTCGCCAGTAAATCATTTCCAAACTATCCTCTAAGAGTAAAGAAACATGTTTATGGTTTTGCCTCGGTTGCGGGTACACAGGCTATTTTCTGTCAGACTGCATCCAAGAAAATCCACTGATAAGGCTGTATAGATCTCAATAAACATGACCAGGTCCACGTCCCCAATGAAACCACGCTTCCCTCCCGTCCCAGAGGGCAAGGACCTGGGAGTGAGGCAGGAGGCCACATAGCTCACTGAAGACAGAGGCAAAGTATACGAAATAAGGCAGTCACAGAAAGGCAAGCATTGCACAAGCCCTTTGATACGAGCTACGTAAACAGTCACATTCATAAAATCAACGAGCGAAATGCTGGTTACCAGGGGCTGGGAGGGAGAGTGGAATGGGCAGTTATTAATCAATAGTCTTCAAGTTTCACCGAAGTAAGACGGACAAGCCCGAAACGTGTGCTGTACATTGTGCCTGTCGCCAGCTGAAAATCTGTTCTGAGGATGGATCTCATGTTGAGTGTTCTCACCACAACAAAGCATTTAGAAAGACAATAGAGTATCATTTAAGTCTTAAAAAGAAAGAAAAAAAAAGGTAGAAACACAGAGAAGAGGGCAGAGTTGGCCAAGTTCCTTCCAATCACTCTCCCACTTACCAGACTGCTTCCGGGAGGCACAGTGAGGCACTCTCTCCCAGGGCCTGAGTCTCCCAGCAGGAGAAGAAGACCATTGCTTGGAGGGCTGTGGTGCCCCCAACAGGAGGGCGGTGGCTTTGGAGTGGTCACTCCGGCTGAGCTGAGTGACATTTCCCAAATTTCTCAGTGAGAAGGGACGATAAGGAAGATTTTTGTGTGAGAGCTGGAGAGCAGAAGTGACACAGTCATGATTTTGATAGTTCACACTGACAAGGAACCCCAACTTGTCCAAACCTTAGTCAAGCTCCTTTGAGCCCTCTACTCAACCAGGCCTTGCACAGCGCAGTTTAGCAAGAACACCCACAACCTTGATATCTAACCACGGTCCTCTGAGTAATTTCCTGTCCACTGGACCCCTCACTCTGCCCATCTGGCCATACACCCCCAGCTGTCTTTTCTGGGTTGGAACTGGGTTCAGTTCTGGGCCAACGTCTCTCTCTCTCCCACTTGCGGGCGCTCGAAGGAAATCTGTCTCGCCAGTTCTATCGAGCGTTCTGCGCAATTTTTCTTTTACACCGTCCACCGTCTTACACACGATGGCGCACCTAGCTCGCTCCTGACGGTCACGTATGTGCGGGCTCCCCGCCTTGTCGCCAGGTGGGGCGGACACGGCACCTGCTCCGCCTTCAGCTCCAGCCACTTCCGGGCCACGCGTGTGCTTCCATCCGCGACCACGGGGCCCCTGCTTCTGCAAGACAACCGCACCTTCAAGGTTAGCGATCATGAGTCTGGCGCGGGTTTCCGTCCATCCCCACGGGCTCCAGCTCATGCCCGTGGGGTCCCGCTGGGTCTTGTTCCCCGCACTTTGACGTCCATCACCCCTTGGGGATCCCCTGAACTTGGACTTCCCAGTACCAGGGGCGGGGACAACAGCCTTAACAGTGACCCTTGACTGGCTCCCACCATTATACCAAGTCCAGTCTCTATAACGAATCTTTTTCATGTATATAGGTATGTAGTTCGATAGAGATAGAAAGAGAATCAGATATAAAGATAAATAGATCTAGATTGATCTAGATTTATAGAACCTGGCCACAGATAAGTAAATATAGACACAGGTTTCCTAGTGGCGCTGCTGCTCTGAGTGATACAAGGTGCAAAGTTTCTGTAAACTATTGAAACGAAGTTAATATGAATCTAGATTACTTTCAGTTAAGCAAGTTGTAATCCCCAGGGCAACCATTAAGAAAATAACTTAAAAAAAAAAAAAGAGTAAAAGGAACAATAAGCAGAGTTAAATGGTACACTAAAAAAGACCTATTTAACACAATAGAAGGACGCAATGGAGGAACAGAGGGATAGAAAACAAAT